TTGTACTCGCGATCTCATTCTTTAGGTCACTACCCAGAGCTTGTGACCATAGGTGAGGGCTGGAATGTAGATCGACCAGTAAATCGAGAGCTTCGCTTTCTGGCTAAGCTCCCTCTTCACCACAACGGACCGGTTAAACGCCTGCATCACTGCTGACGCCGCCCCAATCCGCCTGTCAATCTCCCGCTCCATCCTGCCCTCACTCGTGAACAAGATCCCGAGATACTTAAACTCCACCACCTGAGGAAGGACCTCCCCCCTGACCTGGAGTGGGCAATCCACCCTTTTCCGGCCGAGGACCATGGCCTCAGACTTGGAGGTGCTGATTCTCATCCCAGCCGCTTCACACTCGGCTGCGAACCGCCCCAGCGAGAGCTGGAGGTCACTGTTCGATGGAGCTAGGAGGACCACGCCATCCGCAAAAAGCAGGGAGGAGATTCAATTCAATTCAATTCAATTTTATTTATAAAGCCCAATATCACAAATCACAATTTGCCTCACAGGGCTTTACAGCATACAACATCCCTCTGTCCTTAAGACCCTCACAGCAGATAAGGAAAAACTCCCCAAAAAAAACCCCTTTAACGGGGAAAAAAAAAAAACGGTAGAAACCAGAGATCCTCCCATCACCAAACCTGACACCCTCCACCACTCGGCTGCGCCTAGAAATTCTGGCCATAAAAGTTATGAACAGAACCGGTGACAAAGGGCAGCCCTGGCGGAGTCCAACTCTCACCAGGAACAGGTCCGACTTACTGCCAGCCACGCGAACCAGACTCATGCTCCTTCGGTACAGGGACTGGATGGCCCTTAGCAAGGGGCCACCAACCCCATACTCCCGGAGCACCCCCCACAGGATGCCCCTGGGGACACAGTCGTAAGCCTTCTCCAAATCCACAAAACACATGTGGACTGGTTGGGCAAACTCCCATGCCCCCTCCAGCACCCTGGCGAGGGTAAAGAGCTGGTCCACGGTTCCGCGTCCGGGACGAAAACCACATTGCTCCTCCTCAATCTGAGGTTCAGCTATCGACCGGACCCTCTTCTCCAGCACCCTGGAGTAGACCTTACCGGGTAGGCTGAGGAGTGTGATCCCCCTGTAGTTGTGTCATGGTGGGTAGCAATAATTTCTTTTCAAGTGCTTCTGCAAATACATCTCTCAAAATGGGGATCAATTTAAGTGAGAAGTTTTGATAAAACTCGATGGGAAACCCATCAGGTCCGGGGGCTTTCCCACTTTTCATTCCTTTAATTGCTTGCTCAAGGTTTTCTTTATCCTTTTCGCTAATGGTAGGTAATTCCAGATTATTAAGAAAATTATCTGTCTCTATTTCACCACAAGACTCTGATGTATACAAATCCTCATAAAATGTCTTAAATTGATTATTAATATCCAATTGATCTGTGGTTATACCATGAGGGGTTTCTATCTCTGCTATATATCCAGCTTCAGCAGCCTGTCTCAACTGGTGACAAAGTAACTTACTGGCTCTCTCTCCATATTCATATTCCTTCTGCCTGGAGTTTAGATATAGCTCCTCCTCTGACCCTGTGGTTAAAGCATCAAGTTCTTTTTGTAATGCTACTCGCTCCATGTAGAGGTTAGCATGGGGAGTGCGAGAGTGCTCTTGATCTATAGCGTTTATTCTGGAGATAAGTTGATTGATCCTTTCCGTTCTTTTTTTAATCACATTGGCACTATATGAAATTATCTGGCCCCGTAAAAAGGCCTTCATTGCCTCCCAAAGGGTGTGTTTACTTATATCTGGTGTCTGATTAGTCTCAAGGAAGAAGTCTATTTGCTTGGATATACAAGCCACAAACTCTTTATCTGCCAGTAACCTTGAGTTGAGTCTCCATATACGTCTTGGTAGTATATTGTCTGGAAAGTTAAGTGTCATAGAGACAGGGCTGCGATCAGAAATAACTATACCTGTGTATACGCAAGATCTTAGCAAGGGCAACATTTTCTTGTCTATAAAAATGAAATCAATCCTAGAGTAAGTCTGGTGTGGTGAGGAAGAAAAAGAATATTGCCTGGATGTTGGTTTCTTGTATTTCTATGCATCTACCATTCCACAAGTTTGTAAGAAATCATTTACATATCTAGCTGATTTGCTCAGTGCCCCAGATAGGGATTTTGATTGATCTAAAGCTGGGTGTAATACACAATTAAAATCTCCACCTAACATAAGCTGATGGCTATTAGGGTCTGGGAGACGTGCAAAGAGGTCACTAAAGAATTTCACATTATCCCAGTTGGGGGCATATAAATTAACCAGCACTACAGGCAGATTGAACAGCTTCCCTTGTACAATTACAAATCTCCCATCTTTATCTGTAATTACTTTTGAATCTTCAAACAAAACATCTCTATGTGTCAGGGTGGCTCTACCTCGACTCTTTGCAGAAAATTTTGAGTGAAAAATTTTGGAAAAGCCACCTCTAATTAGTTTATTGTGGTCTTTAGTCTATCTCTGCTTTCAGTTTGGAGATGTGTGAAAATATTTTACTTCGCTTAACTGGATGGTTCAGACCGAGACAGTTCCAGCTCAGCACAACAGTGTTAGCTCTGCTTACCATTCCCCATTCTTTTTAAGTGTATAGCATTGTGGGCTCCCTGAAATGTGTGTGTGTGGGGGGGGGAATATAACAAAAACAGAAACAAACCAACCCAAACAAACAAACAAAAAAAGTAATTATAACAATAATAACGACAATATACATATAACATTATGCTGGCCTCTGAACAGGAGGCTGGCAGTACTTCCAGCCACGTCCCTACTTCACAAAGCAACTCACCTAACAGGCCTGAGCTTCAACCAAAACTATCATTGAAAAATAATTTATCTCAGAATAAATTTCTCTTTAACAAAGTTTAAATCTTATTGGAGTTCCTGATTTTACAGAGTCCGTTCAATGTAAACAGTCCCTTTAATTAGTCTTTTCAAAATGTAAAACATAAGCAGTAATAGGAATTTCACCAAATAGTATTCTTTTTGGAGTTTGAGACTCCAGAATCCCGTGCATCACGTCACCTCATCCGCGGATGGTTTATCAATAACACAAAAATGAACAAGCTGTCAAACTAGGACTATACTTCCCAAAATATTTTAAACATGCTGGAACCTCAGTCAAATAAACAAAAGTGCAAGGATGGATATCAGTCTAACCTTACCTTTATCTTGGTGTAGAACACTTTCAACAAATAAAGAATAAACAAGCTACTGTCCAAGCTATATTTGTCCATATTAGGTTAGTGTTACTTGTATCCATCGTCTCGGTGTATGGCCGGTTTCATTGCCCAGATGTAGTTCACTGTTGTGTTATGGCCAATATGACATAAACCAATATCCGTTCATCCATCTCATGACTTAAGATTTCCCTTCACAAACTCCATGGCTAACTTGGCGTCCTTGAAGCTCCGTCTCGCCCCCTCCTTTGTTGTGATTCTCAGCTCTGCTGGGTAAAACAAGCCGTAGCATACTCCCTCGAATCGTCGCACCTCGCCACACACCTCATTGAAGGCAGCCCGTTGTTTGATGATCCTCTGGGTGTAGTCGGGTTGAATACGTATTCTGTCACCATCTGAAGTAACAAGCTCTTTTTTCTGTATAGCCTTCTTAATCAACAATTCACGTTCTTGGAACTAGTGACACCTCACTACCAGTGCTCTTGCTGGTTGGTCATCTCCCGGTCTCTCCCTTAAAGTACGGTGTGCCCGGTCCAACAAAGGAGCTTTATCCAGCCCGAGAGCGTCCTTAAGCAGTTGTGAAACGAATTCTGGAACGTGTTTCCCATCCTCTCGTCTCTCCTTCACACCGATGATGCGCAAATTGCACCAGCGAGATCTAGCCTTCAAGTCCTCATTCTTCTGCTCCAAGTTGGTGACATCCCGTTTCAACTGGGCTACCTCCTGTTGAAGGGAGGTTATAGCGTCTGAGTGGTCATTCCCGGCTTCCTCCATGGAGAACATCCGGGCTTCCAGTGCCGTGGTCTTTATGTTTGCCTGGTCCATTGCATTTATAAATTCCTCCCTTAACTGTTCACACTGATTTCTGATCTCGGTGGCTTGCGTTTCTACCTTCTCGTCAATTTTCGAGAGCAGCTCCGCATTCAATTTCCTTATCTCACGGAGAATCTCCTCTTGGCCACCGCCAGCTCCCATGTTGTCGTCCGTGCTCTCAATGCTAGTTGCAGTCATGCTAGCTTCTTATGTCTTGTTGCGCAGCATGGTTTATCAAGTTCCAAATTAACTTACAACACGGCTTCTAGTGCCACTCTGTCCTTTCTACCCTGTTTATAATTATGCAGGAACACTTTACACTGGTCGATAATGTAATTCCGCTTGAATAAATCAAGTTCGGTGAAGCACTCAGCCTGACACGTCCTCACATGGTGCTGCTCAAACCGGAAGTCCGAAATTACATAATAGAGAAGAGAAAAAAATGGGTAAGGAAAGAAGAAATAGAGGAGGAGAGAGGGAAAAATCAAGACAAAACAAGGTAGCAAATAAAATTATGTGTAGGTTAAATCACTCATCACTGGTTCAAGTAGCTACAGTACCTGTACCTGTACATCTGACACTGATCACACCCTTGAATCCCATGAAATCAATGCTGCGCAGATGAATTGCGTGTATTACAATTATCGTCTAACATCATTGCGTATGATAAATTGGTCTTCTTTGTCATGACGTTATATATGCTACAATAAAGCTTAAAGCTGACGCCACAATTAAATCATATCAACACCAAATTGATAGTCTGAATAAAATCATCCTGATATTGAGCTGTTAGAAAATAACAGCTGCGCAAAAATATACCTAGTCTCCCTGTAGCTGACGCTCATAACTGTGTATGTGGGTTGCCATGGCAGCAGCAGAAGTCAGCATGTGCGACGATATGTTTGATATCTGATTTGGTTTTTTTGTTATGATATGTTTATGTCACGTTAAACAGCTGAGAGTGGGACCCAAAAGCGAGACTCAGAGACAGGAATCAGTTAAAGGTGCTTTAATTGAATGTTGTGGCTGGATGGCGAGGCAGTGCAGTGAGGCAGGGCGAAGGCAGGGTGGAGAGACGAGGTGGTGGGGCACAACGGTGAGGCACGGTGAAGGACGGGGGCGGATCCAGCAGGCGCAGGCAGAATGCAGGTGAGTGAGGAGGATTCCTGATCACAGGAGAAACAAGGTAAGTCACAACGAAACAGCAACAGGAAACACTGGCAACAAGATCACTGAAGGAGTCGAGAGTCAAAACACAGTATACCGCGTGGGAAACTGGACGATCTGACGACGAGTGGCTGGAGAGACCGGGCTTTAACTGAGACTGATGAGAATGAGGAACAGGTGCGTAGCCTGCACACCTGCTGGCTCGCTGGACCCGCCCCTAGGAGAGAGGGAGACACAGACACGGGGGAGGGGAGACACACTGGGAACACAGACTCATGACAGTACCCCCCCCTCAATGGTCGCCACCAGGCGACCCACCAGGCTTGTCAGGGTGCTGACGGTGGAACTCCCTGACCATATCCAGGTCAAGGATGAAGGAGCGGGGAATCCAGGACCGCTCCTCGGGACCATACCCCTCCCAGTCGACCAAGTACTGGAAGCCCCGCCCCCGACGGCGCATGTCCAGCAGCCGTCGGACCGTGTATGCCGGATGGTTGTCCACTAACCGGGGGGGAGGGGGGGGGAGGCCGGAGGACAAAGTGGACTGTCCTGGACGGGCTTTGGCTGAGAAACATGGAATACAGGGTGGATCCTCATGGTCCTGGGGAGTCTCAATTTCAAAGAAACAGGATTGATTATAGACAGAACTTCAAAGGGACCAATGAAGCGAGGAACCAGTTTCCTAGATTCAGTCTTAAGTGGAATATTCCTGCTAGAGAGCCAAACCTGCTGTCCGGGAGTGTAGGCAGGAGCAGGAACTCGGTGGCTGTCTGCAATGCGCCGGTTGGTCTCTGCAGAACGGAGCAGGGCTGAGCGGGCCTCCTTCCAAATCCGTCTACAACGCCGAAGGTGGGCTTGAACGGATGGGACTGCGATGTCAGACTCCTGGACGGGGAAAAGAGGAGGCAGATACCCCAAAGCGCACTCAAAAGGCGTCATACCAATGGCAGTACTCGAGAGGGAGTTGTGAGCGTACTCCACCCAGGTGAGATGGTCGCTCCAAAGGGAGGGGTCCTTGGCTGCCACACATCTCAGAGTCATCTCCAGATCTTGGTTGGCCCGCTCTGCCTGCCCGTTCGTCTGGGGATGAAAACCAGAAGAGAGACTGACAGTAGCACCTAACGCATTACAAAAGGCTTTCCACACCTGAGAAGTGAACTGGGTCCACGGTCCGAAACGATGTCGGCAGGGATACCATGAAGCCGGAACACGGAGTCACCAGTAGGTCGGCGGTCTCTCTGGCGGAGGGGAGTTTCTGAAGAGGGACGAAGTGAACAGATTTGGAAAAACGGTCAACAATGGTGAGTATGACAGTGTTACCTCGGGATGGAGGGAGACCGGTGACGAAGTCCAAGGCTATGTGGGACCAAGGACAAGTGGGAACCAGAAGAGGATGAAGGAGGCCGGCAGGGGGGCAGTTGGATGTCTTCCCACGAGCACAGGACTTGGGATTTAATAGAGGCTGGGACGAACAGTCTATCAGGGGGTCCACCACCGGGGTCTAGCTTGGCCTCTTGGGCTTCTTGGACCCTCGCCTTGATGTCCCAGCTTACAGCTCCAACCACCAGGGATGACGGGATAATGGGGGCTGGACTCGAGGGGGCTTCTTCAGAAGAAGAAAACTGTCTGGAGAGAGCATCTGGTTTGGTGTTTTTGGACCTGGGCCTGTAGGAGATAGAGAACTGGAAACGGTCAAAAAACAGAGCCCAGCGGGCTTGGCGAGAGTTCAATGTCTTGGCTGTCTGAATGTATGCGAGGTTTTTGTGATCTGTCCAAACCAGAAAGAGAAGTTCTGCCCCCTCGAGCCAGTGTCTCCATTCCTCGAGTGCTAGCTTGATGGCTAACATTTCACGGTTTCCCACATCATAATTCCTCTCTGCCGGCGAAAGTTTTTTGAAGAAGAAGGCGCAGGGGTGAAGTTTCTGGTCGCTGGGGGAGCGCTGGGAGAGGACGGCTCCTACTCCAACATCAGAGGCGTCCACCTCTAGAATGAACTGCAGAGAAGGATTGGGTTGGACCAGGATGGGGGCTGAGGTGAAGCGTTCTTTGAGGGTGTTAAAAGCTGTCTCAGCTTCAGGGGTCCAGCGAAAAGGGGTCTTCTAAGAGGTGAGTCTCGTGAGTGGTGCTGCCAGGCTGCTGTAATTGCGGATGAAGCGGCGGTAGAAGTTGGCGAAGCCAAGGAACCTTTGAAGCTGCTTGACGGAGGAGGGGACCAGCCATTCCACCACTGCCTTGATTTTCTCTGGATCCGCCTTCACCTGCCCACAACCAATGACAAAGCCCAAAAACTTGACAGAAGGAACGTGGAACTCACATTTTTCAGCCTTAGCATAGAGTCTGTTCTCCAGGAGCCGCTGAAGGACTTGGCGGACATGGGTGACGTGTTCCTCCAGGGAACGAGAGAAGATGAGGATGTCATCCAGGTACACGAACACAAACCAGTTGAGGAAGTCTCTGAGCACATCATTGACGAGGGCTTGAAAAACAGCGGGGGCGTTAGTGAGTCCAAAAGGCATGACTCTGTACTCAAAGTGACCCAGGGGTGTGTTGAAGGCAGTTTTCCACTTGTCCCCCTCCCTAATTCTCACCAGGTGGTAGGCGTTGCGGAGGTCAAGCTTAGAAAAGATGGTGGCTCCAT